AGATTGAAGTGGGTCAAAGATCTAAATATTCAAACAGAAACACTAAACTTGCTGTAAGATAAGTTAGGTAGAACTCTTGAAGACATTGGCATAGGAAAAAACTTTATGAACAAAACCTCAGTAGCACAGGAACTAGCACAAAGAATAGAACTGGGACCTCATTTTATTAAAAAGCTGCTGCCCTGCAAGAGAAACCACCAACAGAGCTAAGAGACAACCTACAATGTGGGAAAAAAAATTTTGCAGCTGTACCTCAGACAAAGGACTATTATCTAGAATATATGAAGAACTAAAAAAAAATCAGACCTCCCAAATTTAAGAACCCAATACAAAAATGGCCAACTGAAATGAACAGACATTTCTCAAACAAAGAAATAAAAGCAGCAAATAAACATATGAAAAAATGTTCAACATCACTGGTCACTGGAGTGATGCAGATTAAAACAACACTGAGATTCCACTTCACCCCAGAAAGAATGGCTACTATCAAGAAATGAACCAATAACAAATGCTGGCGGGGGTGTGGAGAGAAAGGAACCCTTCATTGTTGGTGGGAGTGCAAACTGGTGCAACCACTGTGAAAATCAGTATGGAGATACCTCAGAGAACTAGGACTAGAGGTCCCTTTTGACCCATCTATTCCTCTACTGGGTATCTTCCCAAAAGAATTAAAAGAATCATACCACAGTGATATATGCACACGTGTGTGTATAGCAGATCAGTTTGTAATAGCTAAAGGTTGGAAAGAGCCCAATTGCCCATCAACTGGAGACTGGATAAAGAAGATGTGGTTTTCTTTTTTAATAAAATGTAGTACTACTCAGCCATACAGAATGACAAACTAGTGACATTTATAGGTAAATGGATGTACATTGAGGCCATACTCTTAAGTGAAATAAATAGGACACGCATGTAAATACTGAATAGTTTCTCTGGTGTGAGAAACTGAAAGTGTAAATGAGGATTAAAATTTATAATTGATAATGTGAAATAGGAAGAAAAGATCCAAAGGTGTAGGGGAAGTGGGAGGGGTATGGGAAAGGGAAGAAGGGAAAGGAAAAAATATGAGAAAAGGAAGAAATGGAAACAAAGTCTTTGTAAATAGGGAAGGGTGGAGGGAATGAAGCAAGGGCAGGCGAATGGGGAAAAAATAAGAAGCAAGATACATCATGTACAGGTGCAAGTTCCCAATGATAAACATAAACATATTGCATACTTAAAATGTACCAATAAATGAATTTAAGGAAACAAAACTAAACAACAACAACAAAATCAAACAACACATAGAAAAATTGAAAAGGCATAGTTTCTAGTCTTGCCTGAAGAGGAATATGGCAATTGGCATTTGGAGGTGGTAGTGTTGGGGCGGGGCTCCTTTTCTACTGTTTCAAAAGCTGTCAGTGGTTCTTGCACAATTTCTCAGCAATCACCAGTCCTGCTCAATGTTTTAGGTACATTCTGTACTCACTGCCCAAAGATGTCTCAAATCCATGAAAGTATGGTCAAGATTGGCAGGAAGTTACTGACCCTGAAACCAGCCCTCAACCATTTTATCTGGGAATGGGTTAACACTCCATCTTCCTTAGCCTCAGATAGGACACCTCTCAACTATGTTCTATACCTTTTTTCAGATGTTACCAGCAAGACTGAGTCTAAGTTGCTCACAGCATTACTATACTCACTAATGTTCACACTCCTGGTTTCCTTTCCTTGATTCACTTCACCAACCACTGAACTGTGTTTCCTGGGATCACCAAATAGGCTGCTTGATCTCAAGTCCTAATCTCTTATTGATTAACCAAATGTAAGATATCATCCCTGGGTTGTCTAAGGTGGGACTTCTTTTGAATAAAAAGTCTAAACACCACTAAAGCCTCAGTTTTTTGAGTGTTCCATCATATGCTGTTAAACCTGATCTTATCTGACCCAATTAGCCATGTGATGATACTTTTTCATTTTGGAGGTGGAGAATGCTGGGTATTGAATCTAGAGCCTTGTACATACTAAGCATTCTCTCCAACATTGAGATATACCCCAACCCCAAAGTTATTGATACTTTATTATGTTTAAATCACTATCTACTACCAGATCCTTTTCTAATACAGAACTCTTGTTAAAGATCAAATGACAGAAGAATTTGAAAGTCTTTTGATTGGATTAAATTCTGATAATTGCTAAAAAGAAATATTGAAAATTATGTTCTAAATGTTTGCTTTTAGCAAATAAAATTTCAACAAATATATGGCCTTCACACTGCCAATTTTAAAGTAAATCACAGTTCTTATTGACTCAACCACAGCTTTGAAATTGTTTTTGGAATTTTAACTATTACATGCCTGTGTGTAGATTATTTTTTTTTATCAAGGCTAGTTGGAGTCCTATATGCCTCACTTATCTGTATGTCAAGTTCTTTTCCCCTGCTTGGGAAGTTTTCTGCCATCACTTCTGTGAACAGTTTTTTTTTTTTAATGTCATTTGTACTCTCTCCTGCTTCTTCATTGACTCTGATCAGTCTTTTGTTATTCTTCTTTGCATCATCTAGCAGCTACTGGATTGACTTCTCATGGTTCCTTACTATTTTAAAGCATTTTTTCTTTTCCTCATCACTAATTGCAATCTTATGTTCTATATCTGAAATTGTGTCCTCACATTGGCTCATTCTGCTGTGTAAACTTTCAATGGAGTTCTTAATCTCCTTGAAATCTGTTTGCATCCGTCTGATGGATTCCATTTGTTTCCTATGTTGGGATTCCAAATGCTCCTTAGCTCCTCTATTTTTTTTATCTGTGCCCTCTCTATATTTATTAATCATGTCTTGCACTATGGGCACAATCTCTGCTGTAATCTGAGAAATTACTTCTGATTTCATTTTTTCCAGATCTTGTTTTGTTGCCAGTTCAGGGAGTCCGGGGGATTGAGTATCAGATTGTTCCATCTCATTTCCCTTTGGGGTTGCTTTAGGTGATCTGGGAGCCTGGTTTTGAGACTTGTTTATGTGTCTTCTCATGCAAGGACAGGGTGTGCTGCTGATGTGTGTATGGCTTACCTCCTTGGTGTTGGGGGTGGCTCTGCCCCTTGGCTGAGTTCTTTCTTAACAGAAAAGTATTGTTCACAAAATAGCATCAATGATTTCAACTGCCTCCAAACCAGTAGAATCTTAGATGCCAGTGAGGAATGGTGGAAGGTTGAGACTTCAATTTTCTTGAGCACATTGGGGGATTCTCTCCAGGAAGATCCTGTGGGTCTCTCAGTGTGTGTGATGTGTTCTCCCTCAAAATTCAAGCCACAAGCTTGAATCTTTCATGGTGTTCAGTGGTCCCTTGCTATCTAACCTGTATACTCAACAGCTTTGAAATTGTTGATTACCTACTTCTTCCTGAAAAAAATGTTTCATTACTTGACCCTTTGAAACCACTCTCTTGGTTCTCCTTTGGTGTCAGTGGAGGCTTCTTCTCAGAGGACTCTGTGAGCTCCTTCTCATTGTGAGCTGGTGTACCAGGGCTCAGTCCTTTGCCTATCTGTCCATTTTATCTACACACTGTTTATCTAATCTCATCTGATCCTATAGCTTGAACTAGCATCTTTCATTCTGATGCTGGATCTTAAATTTATATCTTCAGCTTTAACCTCTCCTCTGAAGTTGAGACCCAGAAATAATCACTTATAAAACATAGGGAGTTAGCTGATTTACAAATTGCATAGGAACAAAATCCAGGTCAAATTATTCTTGCAATCAGTCCTTATTTCAGTGACAACTCCTTTCTAATAGTTGCCCAGGCCAGAAGTCTATGGAACTATCTTTAATTCCTCACTTCTCTTTCAACATTGCACTCTACCAGCCAACCCTATCAACTCTATGTTTAATTGCCTCTGAAATCAGACCCCTTCTCTATTACAACTGTAGCACAAACAGTCATCATTCACTGTTTCACATGTTTCCTGTTTGGTCTTCCAAAGTCTACTCTTACATACATACACTATATTCTAAAAACATTAATCAGCATGTTCCTTCTAAAAATTTAAGTTACATCAATACATTGTTCAACTTTTCTAATGTGCTCACATGTAATTCTAGGTTTCCACCTATAGAACCCTGTGTAACTGACTCCCAATGTTTCTTCCACCTATCACCTACCACTGACCCCATCATTCCCTGTTTCAGTCACAGTGAGCTCCGTGCCAGTCCTTCTACATATTATGAAGCAACTTCTCAGGCCTCTAACTTACTATGCCCTCCATCTGGAACACCTTTCCCAAGCCACTTGCATGATTCTCCCCCTCACTCTTTAAAGTCTCCACTCAAGTGATGCCTCAACAACTTTCTGATGGCACGTCACCCCAGCCCTCTCACTTCCACACTCTATTCCTTTAGTCCTTTTAAGTTTTCAAAATACTTACCTCCATTTCACTTATCATATGCACTAATTGCCTACCTCCACTGAAATAAAAGTTTGAGAAGAGCAAAACCTCTGTCTTATATTTTATTCACTGCATATCTGTAGCATTTGGATAGTTGCCCAGAACATAAGAGGCAAACTACAAATATTTAAGTGAATGAATGAATGACAGGATTATACTCACTTTTTTGTCAAGTAAGCGTCTTTTGTAACCATTTATTCAAATGGCTGATTGTAGTCTGAACATTTTGAGAAAAAATCCGTACTTTTCATTGTATCTGGTAGCAGTTTTTTTTCTTCCATTGATCAAGGTACTGCCATCTCTCATAAAACGGCACAGCAGAAGTTGAGCTACAACAATCACATTTCTACTAGGATTGCCCGGTAGAAGAAAGACTATGTACAGGACAAATCTATACTTCTTTATATCTGCTTTTTCCTTTTTTTAAGATGTTAACTGAAAACCAGAAAGCTTGCAACTTATTTCCTTAATTGTTAAACTGAGATACTGACTGAGTCCAGTGAACTTCTAAAATGTATTGGTACAATGAAGTAAAAAGGAGATGACAGGAAAAGAAGGGTCAGCAACACAAAATGCACTAATACTGCTTTTTATTTCATGAAGTCCAAATTATTGCAAGCGTTAATTGCAGGAACATTTTATGTAGACATTTTTGAGAGAAACACACAATACACATACATAAATAGTGATCAGCAGAGATTCAAAGTAATTCAGAACAAAGATCAGAACATTCTTTGAATAATGGAGATCTTGGGAAACCATGCACACTAAAATGAAAATATACAATAAAACTAGAACAGTACACATTTGCTTTTCAGAATTTAAATGACACAAGTTAATAATGAAGTAGGAAAAGGTCATTGTGAGCAACTTTCAAACCTTTATTTCCCAATGCAGATCTTTAACTCTACACCCACATCTCTGCATTCCATCCACTTATTAGTCAAATAAAACTTTCCTAGAAATCTAGGAACAGGATCAGAGAATTATAAGTATTCACTCTCAGAAGAAATGAAGGCATTTCCACTGAAAGGCCTCTGATTCCTAGATTCCCCATCTATTGTAAACCAGTTAAAAGTCTACCCTGATATGTTAAAGTTTGGAAATGGGAACGTTGTACAACCCTAGACTTCATTCTGGTTATTCCCTACAAGGCAAAGAGGAAGGCAGAAGTGGGCTCCTAAAGCTAAAAGAAGGACTCAGACACACACATGTATATATACTTAATGTCTACTCCCAACTAATGATGCAAATGATTTGGGGAAGTGAATTAGGATCATTGCTCACTGACTGAAAAGGCCATACTTCAATGTGTTTGTTTTTTTATCTTCATCTCTAATTCAGGTAAATTAAAATAGACAAGTTAATTTTAACTTTTGAAAATAAACATTCAGCTTGCATAAGACATATATGTCCTTATAAAGCAAACATCACATATATATATATATATATATATTTTATCTTAAAACTAGTTTTGACATGCTCCTGATGCCCTTAAAATTTGTACTACAAAGTCTACTGCTGTAATTTTCAAAGAGTGGCTCAAGGGCTACTGATATCCTTTTGCTGGCAAAATATCAGACTGATTAACCAATCAATATAAGAATTTTTAAAAACCCATACTTCTCAGATTATATGATGCATCGAAATCACTTGGAGGGCTTGTTAAAACACAGAACACTGAGCCACACATGCAGTTTCTGCTTCAGTTTGTCTGAAGTGAGGCTTCAGAATCTGCATTTTAAAAAAAGTTTCCAGGTGATGTTGATTCTGCTAGTACAAGAACCATTCTTTAAGAATCATTGTTTTGAACTGTTAATTTATGTTCTTTAAGGCAGTGTAAGATTAGAACCCAAGATCCACATGGCATTTACTAAACTCTCTTCATGGCTATGTCCAGAGACAATCCTTGAGAAACTCATTCCTTTTAAAGCTGCCTCCTTTATAGCAACATCAGTGCCTAGGCAACAAGAGACTTTATCATCATTTGCTTAGCAATTTGATTCTGCAATGCCTGGTCTGGAGCATTTCCTATTTCTCATCAGAAGGGCTATCATCTACTATGTGTCTCCAGATGCCCTGCTCAGGACAGGATCCATGCCTCTGAGGGACCAAAAGCCACAGCTACATGTCTCTACCCAGAAGGTCTATCTCATCCAAGAGGAAGTCCATGTCCTCCCGGCTTACTTGAGGATTAATTACCACCTGACGGAAGAAGTTAACCTTTCCCCGGTGGGGCTGGTAGCCTAGCATGAGGCTTCCCTTCTTCATCATCCTCTCCTTAATGGCTGGGGCTACCTGCAAGGAGAAAAGAAAGGGAGGTGAAACATCAGAACATCAAAGCACATTTTAATCAGCCATTCTCCTGTAGACAGCCCATTCTTATGTGCACAAGGCTGACACTATAATAATTATTATAATTTATGTGAACTTACAGCATATAGATAATGATTCGGCTATTTTAGACATACTGCTTATTATTACAGATTTATACTAATATGCTCATTTATAGAGGAAGACACTAAGGTCCATGGAGGTTAAATAAATATCCCTTATCCCAGGCAGTCTCACTCTACACTCAGGCCTGAAATCTAAATCATTATGCAATGCTACTCCTAAAAATCAAATTATATGGGCTCAGGGGTCACAGTCTCAAAGGTATTAAATGTTACATTCCTAAATTTTTCTTAACTATAAAACATCTCAGGGCATTTTGAATAAAGAAAAAAAAATTTAAAATGTTTATTTTTATTAGTACATGTTTGCATACATAATGATTACATTTATCATAGGGAGATGGTACATGTACATAACACATCTTAATCTTTTTACTTCATCATAGATGGGAGGAAGAGCATCATGAAGTTGTGTAACAAGGAAAAGACAACATGACTATCATGTGCAGTTATTAGCTTTTTAATAGGAATCTATATTTTTTTCTGTCAATTATTGTGCTTTTAAAATATATGGCTGAAGCAAAGACCTTAGAAGAAATGAAAGTTTGATATTACCTGCATAAGCAAAATATGAACACTCTGCCTTTTACTAAAAGGGGTAAAGGTGATAATAAAATTAGGAAGCCTATATTTTATCTTACTATGCAGAAGCTTTTTCTTTTGGGGGGAGGTACCGGGGATTGAACTCGGGACCTGTGCTTGTGCTTATAAGGCAGGGGGCAGCACCACTGATCTAAATCCGTGGCCAGGAAGCCTATATTTTATGCAGAAGGATTTGTAGCTGACACAAAATATATTGGCCCTGATAATCTAAATGTAAAAATTTTTCTAAAAGTTTAATGTGTAAAGAAATTGTTCCATTTTAAGAACCACATGGAAAATCACTCCATTTTCAAATCAATAGTAAGACCACCCAAAAGCTAGACTATAGACTTCTCAAACATCAAAGTTAACTTTGGAAATACCAAGTTAAAAAATTAAGAGCACATTCCTCCCGGGTTGAAAATATAAGCAAAATTTTCCATTTGAATTTTATTTCAACTCTCTGAAAACCTTTAGGGTGTGTCCTACATATGTATGTGGGAAAGGAACATCATGAACAATCTTTACGTGTTTCAGAAAGATGAGATTTGGTCCATCTAGAAGTCATAATGCATATATTAACAACCCCAGGGAGAATGTGCTTCTAAATGAGAGGCAAAAGTCTCAGCACCTATGAACTTAACTCTCACAATACAGCATCCCATATACTCTGATCTTTCAATATATCTGTCTGCTTAGATACTATTCCCCCACAAGGCCAAAGCAGGGCAGTCTACTTCATCTGACACTCAACAAAATCTTGATCTGTTCTGAAGATGATGGGAAAATCCAGTTTTAGATCTCTGGAGAGATGATGTGTTGAATGTTTGCCACAGAGCCCTTTCAAAAGATGTCCAAGGGTAATTTTAACAATGCTTACTTGCTAATTTTAGTACCTAAATTTTGCAAAATAGACTACACTTTGACTACAATAACAAAACATTTTATTTAGCAAAGTCACCTTGCTTTGTAACAAAAGACTTCAGATGTTTTCATATAAAGATATTTTGATTATATAGACCCTTGCCCTTGAGTAAGGCACAAAATTGTGATTCTATGGGAAAAACACATAGCACAAGAACCAAACTTTTAAGCCAAATTTCATCACTGTTTTCCAATATTATAAAGAAATATCTAAATATCTGTATGATTCAGAGAAGTAGTTAAAAAGGGGGTTGATAATACAACAGATATTTTATGAATGTATCCACAAACTACAGGGATTAGTTCCTGGAGGGAGTTAGGCAAAAAGGGCAGGATCTACTTTATACAGCGTTTCATGGGAAAAAAATCAGTGAGAAACCTCAAGGGTGATACTTATCAAATCTTTATCACAAATTATTATTGATGTAATGGGAGTAAAATTATTGCCATTATTAAATATTTGTTAATGAATATGTTCCCAATCCTTTACAATTTGAAATATTCTTCCACATGCCCTATTCCCATAAACTCAAATTAAAACTTATTTAAAATGAAACTATGAATTTGCAATTTAGGGACTAAGAATGTTCCCATTAGCAGCCAGTTTATTACCTTTACGCTTTAACAAATCAACCACTTTCTATTTGTAAAGCTGTAGGTATAATCCAATGCTGTGCAATGTGGATATTCTCTTTTGCTGATCACAGCAGAGGAACAGTCGTAATCTGACAGGCTGGAATATTTACAGGGGAAAGAAAATATGCACAAACTAAATGTAAGTATCTGAATATTGGCCCTAAATGAAGCATGCATAGTGGAAAGCAATTTGGCAGGAGTGAGATTGCTTTCCAGTTCTCAATTATTTTACTGCTGGTTTTCCTTCAAATTGTAAATCAAATTCTTTTCTTGTGCCTCAGTGCACTGGTTTTTGCATCTTAAGTGGTGGAAGATCCTGACATTTCTATTTGGTTGCACAGCGATTTAACTACACATTTCTGTTTTCCCCCCTTAAATTATATTCCAGCAATGATTTAGTCATTTAAACAGAATTTTGTTGTCATACTGCTGCAGCACATAATAGCACTGGACATTTTAAGTTTCTTAAACCAGAGAAAAACTAAAATGACTCTCTCTAGTAACACAGCAATTTGATAAAGCAACTGTCAAGGCAACATCACAGCTGTTGATGAAAATAAAAAGGTAATGTCCATAAAATGGGATTTCTTTTGAAGAATATGTTACATAGTTAATGTTAACAAGAACATTATTGTTTCAGTATACAAAGTATTTCTCAAATTATCTGTGGGGAAGGCCCAGGTTTACTTTTTCAATGCAATACAGACTAATACTTTTGTGAAATATAGTAAAAATTAATTACTAGAAGAAAAAAATGAAAGACAAACACACAAACTTACTTTTTTTAGTCTTATATTCAACATTAAAATCAATCTGGTAAGTTGCTCTAAAAATTTTTAAACAGTGACTTTGGCTTTCCATATTTTTTATTTTTCCATATTTTTCATATATATATATTTCATATATATACACATATATATGTATATATATATAAAACAAAATGCTCATGGATGTGCATGAGGCTGTAACTATACTTTGAGGAGTGCTGCTTTCCTTTAGGGTGGATATTATTTTATCCATGGATCTTGATGTTATTTACATACTTATTTCTGCTTACTGACATGATTTCCATGCCATTTGGAATAGTGCTTTTGCATTCCACCACACCACCACAGGATACCACTCTAAGTGACCTAAATTTTTCTCAATTGTCCTATGTTGAATCTGCTTCAGTTATAATAGCGTTTTATTGAAATCACGGACCCACTCATGAAAACTCTAAACCAGTTAGTTCTTCAAAGCCTAGTCCAGAGATTATAATAGTAAATGGTTTCAAATATTCTAGACTGCAGGGCCTTTACATATCTCTGTCCCATCAGTTGCTACAGTGGCGATAGTCACATTTTTCACCTATAAATTATGGGGTAGAGCAACATGCTAGTTGGCTAAGAAAACAAACCTATAATTAAATGAAGTGATTCTTCTGTGGCAAATAAGAAAGACAAAGACTACATAAGCTTCTACTGTCTGTCAAGATAGCAAGGATATTTAGAATTTCTAATAAAAGCTAAGAGATTAGTGTTTTTGCTAAATCATTTTCTAAAGCATGTACAAATTTATGTTTCTCAAACTCTAGATTTTGGGCAGTTTCCTCAATTTCAGTTTCATTAATTCACATTCAATTTCTCCCAAGGTAGCAAAGATTATTTGGGTGGTGAGAGGCTAAATTCATAATGATTTGCAGATCTTTTGGATAGAGCACAGCATAAGCAGGTAGATTAAATATATGGAGAGTAAACTGAAAATTTTTATTGCAATTAGATATTTTCAAATAATTTCTTCCCCATACAAAATGCAAAAATTATAAGATTTTTAATCTATACAAAATGTAATTTGAAATTTTGTGTTTAATTTCTCTTTATCTACACTAAGCTTCATGCATCTTTGTCCACTTTTGTAGTTCCCAGAAGAGAATTCAGACATAATGGAACCACCCATTCCAATTCATGATTAAGCAATTAAATATAAAAGAGATTGTGGGGTCTGGTTCAGATGTTACCCTTGAATTGTACCTGTTATAGATGAGGGTGACAAACTTCTTTCCTATAAAAGGTCAGATAGCAAGTATTTTAGACTTTGCAAGCAATGAACTCTCTGGGGCAAATACTCAACTCTGTCATTATAACTTGAAAGCAGGAATAGACAACATATAAACAAATGAGGATGGCTGTGTTCTAATGCAACTTTCTTACAGACAATGAAATTCAATGAATAACTTTTACATGTCATGATATATTATATTGCTTTTTATTGTCTTTCAGTCATTTAAGAATGTAAAACCCATTCCTAACTCCTAGGCTGTATAGAATCAAATAAGCAACAACCTAGATTTGACTGTGGACCATCATTTACCTTCCCTCTGATCTAATTGGAAAAAAATATATCATGATATATAAAACTACCCCTACAAAGGACAAAGTGCACAAAAAATTATGCTTATTGGGCTTCTCTCAGAAATTCAGAATCGAGCCCGGAAATGATAAAGGACTTAACTCTTCTCCAACAGAGCGTGAAGAGCCACAGATGGGTTGAGATTGCCAGTGCGGCTTTCTTTCAACACAATTCTTCTGAAACAATCACAAAAGACAAATTGCTTTTTACTTTCCCCCCAAATAATGTGGATTCCAAATATGCTTCACACTCTATATTATTTTAAAAAGGGTTCTGAGTAAGATATTAAAATACAGTTTATGGAAAATG